GTCTCCTGCCGTCGGGCCGCCTGCAATATCTCTTCCTACCACTGGGCGGCAGGAGCGCGCTTCCAAACGCCAGGCGCCTGCGGGGCTGCGCGCCCAAGGCTGAGCCCGGTCCTCAGAGCCGTGAGCGCCAGCAGCCCCGAACAAAGAACCTCCGCAAGGATGAGGCTAGATGGGAAAGCTGTCGGAATGGGATTCGCTCTTGTTGGGCAATTAGTAATGAATGAAAGGCTGGGGAGGACAGGGATCACTTAATTAAAGTTCTAATGAAAATGAAGCCATTCAAGAATAGAAATGGTGCGGACGCTGCTCCCCTTGGGAGCACAGAGCAGTTGCTGGCGTCCCTCCCTCCCTCCTGACGGGGCCGGTGAATCGGCCTCTGTTCCAGACCCCCGGAGAGCGGAGGCACCTAAGGAAAGCCAGAGTCACCCTGGGAAGTACGTGGCTGAGTCTACATCCCGGGGCTGCAGACCCTGCCTTCTCCGTGGTGATCAGAGCCCCCTGCAGCGCATCCCCAGCAGCCCGACAGGCACAGGAGCCCCGCATCGGCCCCCCACTTACCCCTTCTCTTGTGGGAAAAGCCCTTCCCGGGCCGTCCCGGGGGTGGGGAGCGATGGGCGGAGAGACCAAGTGAGCCCAAAAGTCACCGGGGAGCACTGCCCAGTGGGTCCCTGTGCGAGGCTGCTGGGACTCCCAGCTGTCCAAGAGAAAGCACAGGGACGCCAGAGCCACCTGGGCGTGTGGGTCCTCTACCCTCGCAAGGGCGACCAGAACCCAGAGTAGAACACACACGGATGATACAAAAATGACAGATGAGTGGGCCGCACAGAGAATGCGGGGAGGCTGACGCCCCATTTTTCTAACAGAAAACAATGCAAGTCCAGGCTGAGACCCAGATAGGATCGTCCCATCCCAGCTCTTGGCTCGCAAGGAATAATCAGAGTGAGGGAAAAATGTCCATCGTCTCCTTGTGCTCGAGTGCGCACGGTTTTTACGGTTTGTACGGGTCGACTGGGGGCTCTGCTGTGCCTCTGATGTTTCCTGGGAGCCAGACTGGACACCGCACAGATCCAGGGCCAACCCATCCTGCCTTGTGGACCCCGACCCACTGCCTGGCCCAATCCATATACTTTGCTTTTAAAAATACACACATCCACAGAGACTATAAAATGAATACAAATCTATGACAAAAAGAAGGGCCCCAAATTCACCACTGTTAACGTGTTTGCATATAATCTTCCTCTTCTCTAAACTGCTAGTAGATAAAATCATAGTATCAATCAGAAGCTTGCTCTTACACTTAATATTATATGGGAGAATCTCCCATGTTCATGAATATTCACATTTAATGACTATAGAATGCTCCATCCTATGGATGAACCATCATTTACTTAAACTGCGGCTTTACCCAATGCTTAGGTGAATTTTTGTCACACGTTTAAGGAGTTCCACTGTTTCCCAGTACTGTACGTACAGTTGTAGTTAGCAACCTTGTGACCTGCCTCTAGTTTCTCCCTGAAGATCGAAGTGGAATCACTAAGTCGAGTTGCTAGTCAGACATGCTGCCTTTAATTGCAACCACGAACAGCAGTTAGGGAATGGCGGGCAGGATGTTGCTTTGCTGGGACATGTGGGATAGAAGCTCTAGATGAAAGATTCCTCCAGAACCTGGATGAGCCCAGCATCTCGGGTCCTGCACCTGAATTCCAGTGTGGCTTCTACCTGGCAACTTACCGCTGGGGTTTTAGCGTCCACTTTCTGACCAACAAAAGAGCAATCAGGTCACCTGCCCTTTGGGAACCCTTAGGGCTTCCACAGGGAAGAATAACAGAAATGTCACCTGTGGGCTGCTTGGGAGACTGGAAAGCATTTGGCAGAGTAGTTAGGACTATGGCTGTGGAAAGCAGGCAAACTTGGTTTCAAATACCAGCTCTAGCACACAGCTAGCTCTAAGACCTTGAGCTCAAGTTTGGGTTTGTTTATTTTTTTTTTTACCTGTAATATGGAAACAATAACAGAACTTATATGTTGATGTGTCCATCTTAACGTTGCTTGTTCCATAAGAGGGTTTCCCCAAGGTGCTTGGCACATAGCAGGGGATGTAGTATTATTAAGTGTTAAGATGCTGTGTGAATACTAAAGGATGTTGTTAGTGTGTCTATGTTCCCGTCCCTCCTGGAGGATGACTGCAGGACACTATGCTCTGGGACTCAGGTGGTCCCTGAGGTTAGTCCCCGGGGGAGCATCGCATGGGTCTGAAACAGTGCAGCAGCCCCTCCCCAGCAAGCAGTGTCTTGGAAAGCAGGATCTGGAAAGGACACCTTAGGTTTGGGGATGACCCGTGCCTAACGAGTTGGTGTCTCCAGGAAGCTGTTCTGACTGCCTATTGTTGGCTGAGAGTCTGTGAACAGCTGGCTAGCAGGATTCTCCCAGACTGTGGCTTTGCAGCATAACGAAAGGACTTGCAGCAGCTGAGGGGGCCTTGGTGGTAGAGCATGCACTTAGCGTGCTCAGGCCTGGGTTTAATTCCCATCACCCAGACTGCAGCCTGCAGTCTAGTGGTTCCTACTCTTGGTTGCGCCGGGATGACTTTAGGAATACAGATTCCTCACCTCAAGCCCCAGATAGTCTACATTGACTGCTCTGGGTAAGCTCTCAGCAATGCTTTGATTTTTTATTGTTGTTGGTTCCCAGGTGTTTGTAAAGTGCAACAGCTGAACTTGAGAACCGCTATTTTAACCTATGAAAGCATCAACGGGAAAACCATAAAGAGGGTAACACCAAGGCCCCAAAAGGCTAAGGGACACTTCCTCTTGGTGTATAACTAGTGAAGCATACATCCAGGAACCTTCACAAATCCACATCCTGCTATTCCTGAGCATGACCAGGAATTTCATGGCAAGTGTCTCTGGTCTTAGTTGTTCTCCAGGTGGAGGCCGGACATGGTGTGTAAAAATATCCAAGGTTAAATTACTGTGTTTGGATATGTGTCTCTCAGTTTTGAAAGAGAGAAGAATCCATCTTCTGCTCTCAACATAATCAAAGGGTCAAATCACATCCTCATTCTGCAATGTGCAGGGGAAAGAGGTGGTTAGAGAGGCTGACAAGACAGAGATCCCAGACAGCTGCTCTCAGCACAATCCTCAAAGTCCTCAAGTGCCGGTGGGATCCACACCGGAAACCATTTTCCAGGAACACCCTGACTCCCAGTGGGTCTGCCCTCATCCGGGCACCATGCGCATTGCTAGACCTGAATGTCTACCTCCAGATTTACCTCCTGAACTGAGCAGTATTCTGTGAAGTGTGGCCCTGGGATCACTTGCACCAAATTTGCTAGACTCCAGGACCTACAGCCCTGCTTTTTGAATGGCAGCCTTCTGGATCTTGGTGAGACACAAGCTTCTCATTCGGGGAGGGGCTTTGAACCACCTCCCCAGTGATGCTGGCTAAGCTAGCAAACACCCTATGAAAGAAAACAAGATCCTCCACTGCTTCCTAAGAACGAAGAATTCCTGGCTCCACCCAACTGAATAAAACAGCTTACATCACAGGTAGGACTTGAGTCTTCAATTTTAACAAACACGTGAGCAAACAAACAAATAAACACCCTGATCAGCCCTTCTCTAAGCCCTGAGATTTTTAAACATTAGAATCAAGTGTGTTTTGTTTGAGATCGTCTCTGTGCCCCTAGAACCTAGTCCAAGTCCTGCTGTTGCATAACGTGTGTTCTGTTAATCTCTGTTGAATGAATGAACAACTCAGAACACTCAACCCCCTAAAACATATCCACACTTACCTAATAAAAGTTTGGTTTTATCTTTGCATTCTGGCGTATTCCAAGGGTTGTTGCAAGAGCCCCAGGGTAGCACGGACACAAACGAGGCAAACAGGTAGAAAAGTGTGTAGCAAATAATCACATTGTAGTATATAGCTATTAGGACAGAGATGATCAGCATTGCGATGCCACAGCCTGTGGAAGCAAAAATTCAGGGGTTCATTCCAGCCCAGGCGCAATGGCATTCTTACAGAGGGCACAGGGGAGCCATCTAGGTCTTTGGACGGGTGCACTACCAATGGGGTGGACTCTTTGCCCACTAGGGATGTGAGATCTTCTGCAAGGGACTCAGTGAGGGCGGGCATGATCTTGGACCATTCTTCAGAAGCATCACATACAGGAAGGACGGTGTGAGTTCCACTGATGAGCTCTCCCTCCCCGGTGGCAGTGGCACAGTGGGCAGGCAGCATAGGGAAGCTGAGAGGCTCTCTGGACTCACCTTGCAGAGCTGGGATGGCCTTCCACACAGACACTGGCCCCTGGCTGGCAAACTGGCCCAGGGACACCTCTAGGAAGAAGATAGGCAACCCGGCCAGGGCCAGCATCATCAGGTAAGGGATGAGGAAAGCCCCTTGGAGAGAGAGAGTGAGGAGTGAGAGTCTGGGAGGCGAACACAGGGCTCTGGCCCGCCTTAACCCTCTGCAGTAGGGGCTGGGCTCCCTCTCAGGACACTAAAGGACAGCTGAGCTCCTCTCTGAAGCAGCTTTTGCCATTCCAGCTCCAAGGGCACCCAGGGACACTTTAGAGTCCTCCTCCAAAACTCAAGAGGGTACACACGCAAATCCTTTTCCAACTGCCCATTATGTGCTAGCGGTCTTTTATTCTTCGTAACACTTGTTTCTCCAAATTAAGCCCTTCCAGGGTTCAACAGATCTGTGCCTTTGACTCACTGCTGCAGGTGCATGTGGGAGCCCTCCCCTAAGGAACCCCAGTTACCTACACACCTCTGCCCACCAGGGTGGGACCTGTTCTGTTCACCCGGGCTCCAGGATGCCCATCCCTCCCCACACAGGGCCACACGGCTCTGACTCTCAACCCCTCTCACTGCATATGAGCGATCCTAGGTAGGTCAGGCCTCCCTTCCCCTCAGTCTCCCTCCCACATCCTCTACAGCACCTTGCTCCCGACACAGATGCTAATATTTACGGTGGTGTCCTGTCTACCCCGGGAGCCCCCTGAAGCTGGCTACCTGGCATCTCCTCACCCCTCAGAATACCCAGCCTGCCACGTAGCATGGGGAGGCTGTCTGGGTTCTCTAGGCCTCTCTTCCCTTCAAGGATTCTTTGGAGGGGCTTGGAGAGTTTCCATGATCTTTGAGAAAGTTTTGACCAGGAAATGCATTAACTTGGGCGAAGGGCAATTCGGGAACCAGAGACAGCGGAGACCAGCCCATCTCACTCAGTAAAGGAGAGCTGCTCCTGTCCTAGCCCCCCAGTGGATGGTCCCTCTCCCACCTTCCTGTCCCCTTCCTGTCCAGGTGGGAAGGCCCAGAAGCAGCCATGTGGCGGGCTGGAGGGGAGTAAAACTGGGGAACCTGCTTTGTCCTCGTCCTCTGGGCCGTGTGCGGACACTGCAGGGCAGAGCCCAGTGCCTGAAAGGAGCCCTGCAGAGCCCCGGAACCGCTCTGGGCAGCACACACAGCCCCGAGCTTGGCAGATTCCCTGCGGGCACAGCACAAGCACAGTCCCGGGCCTGAGCCCTTCTGCTGTCATCACCACCGTGCTATGACCCCTTCCGGGCCCGGGAAAACTAATTCTAGTGTCTCCCGCCTAATGCTTCAGGCACCAGGATCTGAGGGCTGGGGCGGGGGCAGAGTGGAGGGAAGCCCAGCTGGGTGCCTGCTACTCCAGGGCCCCAACTGAGTCTTCTGTTTCCAGGGCACCCCTGGTGGCAAAAGCTCTGCAGTGCTCCTAAGTCCTTGTCCAGCGCCCTATTTTGGGAATGGGGGGTTCCCCATCTATATTTCTGATTTAATCGTCTCCTGGTGAAGCACCTGCCTCTCCCTGTGCACTCAGTTCAGCCTGGAGCAGACCCAAAGGACAAAAAATAACTTAAAATTCTTTAGAAAAGTATGGGGTGGGGGGGTTTCTTATCCTTGTGGTCTACGTGAGCAGGCGAGGGAGGGATTTCTTGGTGGAAATTCCCATGCCTGGAGGCAGACTTGTCAGTTAGCTGGTGTGTGCAGGGGGGCAGGCAAACAAAGGGGACCTGTCTGTGATGGGTCCCTTCCCTGTGTGGTGACAAAGAAAGAAGTACGGCAGAGTCTAGCGGCCCAGCTGCCTGTGAATGCCTGGCATCTCTGAAACAATGCACATTCAAAAGCGGAGCCTTCACCCAGTTAGGACAAATGAAAATGACTTTGCTAAAGTGGAAACTCGCCTAAGGAGGCCTCCCAGGACACAACTCCTGGCTGTCCTACACCCTCCCTCCACACCATCCAGGGCCCACTTTCAAAACATCTCCTATGGAGACTCAGATTCCCAGGCTCTTTTTCATGAATTTTTAAATGAGCTCACATTTGCAATACACAGAGAACCCTCGTCATGGGGAGCTGGTATATGTGTATCCCACACCTTCATTCTGTTACTTCCCCTCCCACACCCTCTTCCATCTCAAGGCCCCTTTCCCATTGGCCAAAGTTCCCTCATATGAGAAACTCAAAGGCTCAATAATTTAAAGAGCAAAATAAAGGATGGAAAGAAAATAGGAATCAGGGAGTCTTTTGCAAATGGGAAAGAGATTTGCAGGTTCTGATCTTATAACATCCTTCGTTTGGGCCTGGCTCCAGGACTGCACAGCTACTGGCTCGAAACTCCACCAGATGCCAGGAGGGCTGTCCATCCCTACATACTGGACGGTCAGAGTCCACGCCTCCTGGTCAGCACCCACTTGGTGTGGCACCCAGTCCTCCAAACTGGGCCTGGCCGGGAGGCTCATGCGGCCCCGTCCTCCTGAGCCCCGTCTGCGAATGACAGTACCAACCATCTCCAATCTCTCTGGTCCACATTCAACTCAAGCTTACAGGGGATGGGACTAGAGTTCAAAGAGGTCCCCTGAGCTCCCCACTGCCCCTGCCTAAGGGCTCCAGGCTCCCTCCACCCCCACACCCACCCCTCAGGTGGAAAGAGCTGAAAAGCCATACCTCCCCCATTCTGGAAGGCCAGGTAGGGAAACCTCCAGACATTGCCCAGCCCCACTGCGTACCCCACCATGGACAGGATGAAGTCCAGTTTGCTGGACCAGTTCCCTCGAGCCTTATTCTCATCCCCTTGCTCGTCCTCCTGGGGGCGGAAAAGCACATGGTCGGAGAACAGCCCCGTGGGTGGGTCGCAAGCAGGCTCCATTCCTCCCCTCCCCTCCCGCAGAGGACGGGCCTTCCCAGCAAGCAGACCCCACTTTCATCCTAGGGTGCAGAGGATGCATCGGCAAGCAGGACCCCAACTCCAAAGACAGGATGCACCTCCAAGCAGGTCCCTCACCCTGTAACCCTGTGCTGAGAGGCCCAGCTAGCAGCTCCAGTGCTGATCTGCAGAACCATCTTAAACAGAACCCAACCCCTCCTCCCCAAATCCTACGGTCAGGGGTCACCAGGCAAGCAGCTCTCCCCAAACCTGGAGCCGGTAGGTTGATTGCAAGCAGATCCCTCACCCCCAATCCCTCACCAAGAGTTTCTTTGGCAAGCAGGCCCCAACATCATGCCCAGAGTCCCCAGCAAGCAAGTTCCCCAAACCCAGACTTCACTGCCCTGCTTCCTCGGCCCTTTATCCTTTGATGTGTGTGCCAAGGCCAGAAAGAGAGTTGCAATGCTTAAAGCCAGCCAGCGCCCCTGCCCCTCACTGTCTCTGCCAGAGCCTGCAAAGCCTGCCAAACTGCCGGGTCAGTTAATTCAAAGGCAGCGCCTTTCTGTGGGGCGAGGGAGACAGGCAAGATGGGAATTTGGAGGTGGACTGGGAGGACTGGGAGGTAGACGTGGTGAAAGACAGGCCACCTGAAGCCCTGAGTTCTACTGGAAACTCTTTTACTAACCACATAGATAACTAAGATGAGGGGCTCAGCATAAATGTCCCCTGAGGCACCACCCACTCCAGCACGCTAAGGTCTGGGCTCTTCTCTGAGCTCACACCATGGTGCTCTCTTGGGACAGTACCTGGTTCTGGGACGCCTCACACCTGAGCAGAAAGGCTGGAATGAAGCCACCCCAGAGGAGCCCTGATGAGCACTCGCTTGGGACACTGCCCAAAGCTTCCAGCTCCTCTTCCTCCTCCTCTTCCTCCTCCTCCTCCTCCTCCTCCTCCTCCTCCTCTTCCTGGATGTCTGACAGGTCTGAGTTGCGGCCATGATCCACAAGTGGATTTACCAGACGAACCCCAAGCTCTGCTGTGTCTTCCCTCTGCTGGTATCGAGACAAGGGAAAAAGGACAGGAAGAGCTATGAGGGACACTGACAAC